GAGAGACAGACCGAGACATTTTCCCATGTCCTTATTTTACCGTCATGCTTTTTCTCAAAGAAGATAGGCGGATTAGTGAAGAAGTGGGGGATAAAAAACAGTATTCAAAAGACCCTCACATTTTCTTCTGTTATGCCATCTTTTGGAGAGAAATATGACTCATTATTGAGATCTGGCTGTTACAAGATTGTTTGCTCTTGTGGTCGATGGTATGTTGGTGAGACATGCCGACCTATTCGACAAAGATTGATAGAACACAAAAATGCTTGCAAAGGAAGCTGGATCCAACGGTCAAAAGTGGCCGAACACATGGTAAAAACTGGACATGAAATAGAATGTTCTCAAACTAGTAGGTTTGCTGAGTATGGTACGTCTGTGGTTAAAAGAAAGATAAGAGAGACTATTGAAAGTAATAGATTAGGAAATACGTTGAATGTGAGGAACTGTGGTAGAATGTTGAGTAGGAACTACTTATGCTTGATTGATAGATTGAAAGAGAGAGAGGGTGGCGGTTCTAATCTTACTCATATTCCTCCAACATGTTGGAGTAAGCTCATCAACCAAACCAAACATGTCAGATTACACAACCCCAGCCTTGCCTTTCCTTGGGGGTTAAACGTTAATGACCCTAGACCAAGAGGTTGGGACAAGTGGTTTCGTAACTTGATTTTCATGCTTACAAGCTCATATCTCGTCATCTCAACCATACTTGTTTACGGACTTACGCAGTCCTGGTCAAGGCTTTCTCTTGGGTCATTAGGTCTTGAGAATCAGAACTTGGGATTAGCCTTTAGACAACTCGGATTTAGCAACCGTTTTGCATATAGACGGTAACACACACGCATACACATACGCATACACTCGAGCAAAAGTAACAGGACGAGTATGAAAGATAATTAACCAAACCACTCTATTTCTATCTCGATTTTTAATATTCTTTTTGCTCGATAAGAAGTAAGCTAGAGCCGGATAGTGTTCTTGCTTTAGTGTTAACGTGAGATTTTTACAAGAATGACACCCAGCTCTGATGATGTCCATCGAATGATGGACGAAATTCAGTACGTTTTCGCCCGAAACGAAGGAGGTAGTCTCGTGGACTGCGTCAACATGAATATCGTATAAAACCCAAACGACTGAAGTATAATGAGATGTATCCGTCCTCAACTGGCGAGATTGACCAACGAGTCTCTTCTTCATTCATTTTCGTACGAAATGAAAGTCCTCCCAACAAAGTCATCGAAACGCAGTTTCTCTTCCTATCTACATTTAACTAGCCCCAGCTATTGTAGAAAATCAAGACAAAGAGAGTGTACTATTTTTAATTTTTTATCAAGCTTTTTCTACTGCATGGAAACATATGCTATACTAGCTCCAGATGGTAAGGTTTTGAATAATACGATATTTTCACGGGACGAATTACTTTTATAAATTGTCACCTGCCTGTACATTATCGCTATGGCTACACGGCGACAAGCAGAAGCCGCATTCAGTCGAGGCAAACAGTTGGCGCTTGGTACGGATAGCCGATGCGTGGTCTTGCCAAGGCAATTATCTCTATCCTACAGCCTTAAAGCAATCTCCATATGCGGATTAGCGATTAGGCTTAGCCCCAGGGGCTCTCAACCAGGGCCTCTAGTGGATATGACGACCAAGACGATTTGGTCTTAGGGTTAGTCGCAGTATTGGTTATATTCCCAAAGTTTTAGAATGCACCTAGTTCACGTTCTGGTGCTGAAAATTATCGTGACTACTCTGGGTATGCTCCACAGGGTCTTCCTGTCGCTCGGACCAAATCAAACCACCGCCCGAAATGGATTTCGGCTTCTTTGTGCTCCCTAAGAAAGTGGTACAGAAGGTCTTTTGCTGCCCCCAACCATGAGTAGGAGACGAAGACCCCTTGAAGCACGAGTTAGCGAGAGATTCAACGATACACTCCGGCCTCTGGATGTCAATTTGACCTAATACGCCATTTTTTCTGGTACACTCTCAGGACTCGTTGTCGCCACCGTTTGCATCGTCTAAGTTGGCCCCCAAATGGACATCGGACACAGCTTTACAATCTAGCGTAGATCACCATCTTCCTGTTGGACGGAGCCAACTGGACGACAAAGAGGCCCAGCACATTCCCAGAAGGCAAGTACGCTTGGTTCCCTGAGCATGTGACCAAGCGCCATGGCAAAAGAAGAGTCATCTGGTTGTAGATCTAATTTCGTGGAAGGGACTAGTGAAATTACCGCTTCAGAAGCCGAGGGAGGACTGCTTCGCCATTGTGAGTGCGATCTTCTGCGAGCCCGATTAATCCGAGCTGACAGTTCGTCTATCTCTCTGTGACAGACGTCGTTACAGACGCCTTCCGTCATTTACGGGAGTGAAGCATAGAGAAGGTGTAAACCGAGAAAAAAATGGGAGTAACCACAACTGCCTCCCCAACCTCAGATAGCGCAATGATCACGTGCGTCTAGGTCTTTAGTTTCATGTGTGTTGCGTGTATGCACTATTCGTGCGCCAATCGGAAGGTTGGAGCCCAAACCAGACTCCAGACACGCTTTTATCATAATGTCTCCAAATCTCTCGTGTTCAGGATGCTTGTTATCTTGTTACTTTATAGTGACTAGCTAATTCCCCACATTCTGCTAAATGTTGGGTTTAGGTCATCCTGTCAGTCCAGCTGCCCTTGATTTTTGGCGCCAAAGTCTTTTGACAAAAGGTTTCTGTGTGCAGCCTCTCTTCTGTTAAGATCACGAAATGACTGCCCCATTCATACAATACCGTATCATCATTGATAAGGTTCTTTTTATACGTAAACGAAGAGCATTCAGCCTATTTCGTTTAAGATGATAAGGAAACTTGTGGTTGAATACTTCCCGCAATATTACTACCTGTTTCTATCCTCTCATTTGCTGAGTAATTCGCTCAAATTTCTCTAAAACCAACACTAAAAAAAATAGCATTAGGAACCAAGACTAGTTTTCCTATTCTCCTTCATTATCGTGAATAATGTTGCTTCCCATTTTTTCAATATTTTGCTATAATTGAATATTAATCCTAATAGATAATAATTTTGAACTAGTCTCTTTCTTGCTCCTTTACGTTTGCTAATCCCAAAATTAATTAAGCAGGAGGCAGGAATTGTAGGCTTCCCAAACACCTCCATGTCCAATTAGCCTCCTTTATTAACTCGTATCTCTAAATTGGTAACTTGCCGTCTTTTCAAACCCGGTTATGCATTCGCTTTTCCTACAGATCCTATCTATCTCAGATTGCAAAATTGGGTATATGAAGTAAGTAGTATCATATTAGGTCATCTGTAATTGTGTAGTGTTATTGCGAGTATTGGCCCAGATACGTCGGTTTCAGATGCGGCCTATTCACGAATTCATTCAACCCGCTTGTGGCTTTTCGCGGGACCCGGGTTCTCTCCGTATCTATGATGAGTCACGCGGCCTTGACGATAACGCCCAATCGATAGGGCAGGGTGTGCTGCTGGTCCACAACGCCCATAGCCTCTTAATTAAAGTGGTTTGACCTCGTTTAACACAACTTGGTCCTGTCTTAAGGGCCAACTGGATGGACCAACTTTGCCCTGAACCCTCCGTCAAACTAGCCAGGCCAATTTCCACTCTCGAACGGTGGACTTGGTACATGCAGCATCGCGACCAACTGGCCAGAGCGACTAGACGGTCGGCTTGACGTCCGTAGATCCCAAGGGACAGGTTGTCGTTATGTTTGTGTGTCCGTAGCCCATACACGCTGCACGCGACGGTACCAAGCCCGTGGCAGCCGAATTCAGGCTGGGTGCTAGCATCGAGGTAGCTGTGAGAGCACAAGTAAGTAGCTAAGGTGAACGATTAATCGCCTAGCCAACGCATGTTGTCAAGCTTTGCTGTTTGTTGTGAAAGACATACGGGCGCCAGGAACGGAGAAAGCTCATGGATGCTGAATCAGGGGCGGAGGAGGATGGTGCTCCGAGGTCGTCGTCGTCATTGCACAAAGCCGCAATCATCGCCTCGCCTTCCAGTGGGGCCTGTTTACGAATACTGAATCGCCTCGTGTCGCCTTGACGACGAGGCAGCCAACGAGACGGGCCAATCTCCCGGGCAGAGACTGGGAGAAGACGTAGAAAGTGGCCGGTCTTTCGCGCTGCCCCTGGCACCATGACCGAGTGGAGAAGACGTACGTCTCCACAAAGACAGTTGGCTGCGGCCCAACCAACGGCCGTGCCGCAATTTCGCTCCCAGCCAAGGCGGCAGATCAGTTTGCCCGCTTCTCCCACTCGTCGCTTGGACGTTGACTTTCGGGCCTAGATCGGAATTCTCCTTTTCTGTGGAGGCTGAAGCGTGCCGTTCGAATAGCACAACTGTGGACGCAGCAGCAAAAAGTGATGCTGTATCGATCGAGGTTGACTGCCTTGTGATTGGCCCGAGGCGGGACCAATCACAGGCCGACAAGTCGATCGGGCCTAACAAGAGTCAGACACATGAGGAACACAGAATTGCATGCTTCTGAGGGACTTGGCCTTGATGACTTTGCCCGAGGACTTATTGATCCTCGTTTCGGCGGCCCCACTATCGCTGGACCTGGCTTGGCTTAGCTTAGCTTGGCTTAGCTTGGCTTGGTCTGGCCTTGCCTGGCTTGACTGGTCTCGTCTCGTCCGGTCTGATCAAGTCGGTTCTCGTCTTCTGGCGGCCTTAAGCCCGACCTCGTCGAATGCGACGTAGGCTCCGGTGAACCGGCTTTGAGCAGGCCGGACCATCTTCAGTCGACTGAGCAGAGCAGCAAATTTTTGAGCTGGGCGCGCAGAAAAGTCGGCTTTCGAGGGCGCACTGTGTGGAGATTCAGGCATGGTTGCATGGTTGGTTTTCGCGTGACAAAGCGCGAGGATCGGGGAGATTCGTGAATTGGCCGAAAGGGAAGACGAAGTAAAGTTGCGCTTGAATGATGTGATTGTCGGTATGTGCGGAGACGAAAATGAAGGAGAAGAGTACGTTGATGCAGAAGAAAACGAGATAAGATGAAGAACAAGAAGATGATATAAAATGCAAAAGTGGGATAAGGAGGAAGATAAGAAAAAGAAAGAGGAGCGAAAGGGGAAGAAGATGATGCTGACCAGTCTTCTCATCACCAAGACACTAAGACACTAAGACATTGACACTCGCAGGTTGACAAGGCCACTGTTCCTAAGTGGCTGATCTGGCATTTATGATTTTGAATTCCGAAGGAAGCAATCTAACCGTCTCCTTCCTTCAGATGTCGATGA